ATGTACTCTTTTCGCTATTTCCGTTACGTAAATTTGATTTTTTTTTACGTTTAAAGACAATCTTTAGATTCAAAAATGTATTCAGTAGATGGATACTACTTCTGACTATATCATGGCCATAAAAGCCAAAAATAAAAATATTGGATCACAAAAAAGGGGAATACTCTTAAACTTCATATTTTACGAACAAAAGACATCTGTCTCTATTAAAACCAGTTGGTGCTAGAAAAAAAAAATTTCTCTTTTGTTGTTCTTTCTTTTGAAAGACATTCACTCTAACCTGATTTAGCTGATTTATGCACTGTTATCGGTAAATTAATATTTCCTTGTGGTGCTTGTATATAAGCTTGAAAGACACTGCATGGTGTCTCTGGACGAACATTGACTATACATGAAGTATTAACCTAATATATCAAAGATAAGTTTAGATTTTGAAATAAAATCAAAATCATACGTAAAATTCTATAGGTTCAATAATTGCACGCATTGGAATGTTAGCAGGTGGAACAATTTGTTCTTGAGATGATTGAGCATGTAATGATAGATGATAAGGTGAACCATCAATATGTGTACCATTATATGTTAATGATATATGATATTTACCTGGATATACGAGATAATTGTTTTTTTTCCTGCAAATTGTGTTTTTACTTACCAGATGATTGGCATTTGTAATAAACTCGATAAATTTCTGTATCAATAACTTCAATTTGTATATCAGCTTTGGATGGACCATCAATTGCAATAACAAGTTTTTGTAATTCAGCATCAGGTGCATTTAAATCAAAATGACCTTCAATTTAAAATAATGATTTTTTTTTAACAAAAAAATAAAAAGAGAAAATATACGAACAATGATCATTAACGAAACCATCTTTGAGACCAGGACCACTGGCTCGAATATTTGGTTGTTTTTTGGTACTGATTATTGGATTATCATTGAGAAATTCAGGTGGAGGTGGAGGAAATAGTTCATTACTATGTTGATTTTGTGAACGAGATCGTTTAAATGGAGAAGACTTTTTAGCTGTTGACGAACATAGTGGCGTTACTGGAAATTTGAAAATTAGAAAAAAAAAGAAGTACGAAATTTAACAGTTGTTTTTACCATTGAGATTTGGTGTTGATGGACTTAATATAGATTTATCAGTTGTTTTAAGTAAATCTATGACCAAAAACAATGAAAATAACGGATGTCACAGATTAAACGAGATATAATCATTTTCTTTGTTGTGAACACTTTCTTAACTTCGTTCTATGCTCATTCGATAGGGAATTTTTCACCCTATAAGAATGTGAACTTTCATTTTTCAAACAACCTATTCTTGTGAGAGAAAAATAGAAAAGATTAACACTTTCTCAATCATCCAACTGCAATTTTCTGCAGATATCTATCAATTTGTGTAAGCATTTGCTCACGAAGATCGATCCTAAAAGTATAACATTTAGCATCAATCGATAGAGAAGTTTGTGTTCTCTGCTTCTACGATCTTTTGAAAGTTCCTGGTCCTATCATTTAGAAGAAAAAAAGCATTGAACCAACACCTATTGATATTTTTGAGTACAGTTTGGAAAATCATATTTTCAAAAGTGAGACTTGCTTAATAAAACGTTTATTATCATACCGTCCGATGTAGAATTTAATTCTGAATAGAATGATGCGACTCTTAAGTTGAAGATTAAAAACGATAAAGTTATCTTGAATTAGAAAGGAACAATCATATAATCCTAATAGAAAATATTGGTTTTAAATGTTTTCACATTTTATTACCTAAATTTTTTTTTCTTGCAAAACTTCTAAAATTATGAAATATACATCAAAGGATGAAGACTTGTAAGAGATTTTACGGCATATTTGAAATTACAGATGAACTTTTGTTAACAATGTTGCATTATTTTTTCATTTTTTTTTGGCTATTGCAGTTGGACGATTGAGAAGATGTTAATCGTCTCCATTTCGCTCTCGTAAGAAAAGGTTGTTTAAAAACGAAAGTCCACATTTTTGTAGAACGAAGAATTCTCGACCAAATGATGATAGGACTAACGAAGAACGTGCCTGAACTGACACTCGACATTTGAGCTCATATTGGGTTCACAAAGAGGTCTCAATAAGGCCAAAAAGAATCCTAAAAGGGTTCGTCCTCATGAGCCTCTGGAACTGAGTTATGACCGTTCCAATGAATTTTTATATCATATCTACCAAAAAATCAAATAACAGAATTTCGACCTGAGTTTTTATCCATAGATAAGTCTGATGATAGCCTTGGAAATATTCTGAAAGTTTCAGCCGAAAACAATGTTTCCTTGTCGAAATATTGAATTTCAAAAAATGGTCGTTTAACACAAAAATTGAGTTTACCTGAAAATTCAATATCATAACAAAGGCATATTCTTTTTTGCTGAAACTTTCAAGATATTGCCAGAGTTGTCAGACCTATCTATGAACGAAATTTCAGATAGAAATCCTATTATTTAATTTTTAGCTAAACATTCAAATCAGGATCGAAAATTCAGTAAAGCAGTCATAACTCGGCTGCAAAGAATCATGTGCACAAACTCTTTTAAGATTTTCTAGTGTTACCAAAATCTTCTTGCGAACCCAATATGAGTTTAAACGGCGGGTATTAGGTCAGGTAGTTCTGAAAATGTATCGAAATATTTCAGCAAACAAAAAGAAAATGATTTTGTCCCATCTAATTTGCACCATCCCTATTAATGATAATAAATTCTATTTGATTACTATTCAAACGTCGAAATGGATTTGAAAAACTAAATGAAGGTGGTGTTGATATTGGTACATTTGATGTTTGAATTTCTTGATTTTGTTGTCGTTCATTAAAACTAGCTGTTGTCCGTTTTGATATTCTTCTCATTACTTGACTCGATTTTTGTTTATCATTAATATCATATTCTTGATCAGCTGTTAATTTAATTTCATCAACATGTACAATATATAACAATGTTTCTGTATAAACTAAATCAATTGAGAATAGATAAATATAAAATCAATTCTTAAAACTTACCATTATTTTCATCTGCTGAACTTGAACTACTACTTTTATTACTTAAACGATCCGTTGATGAAGTTAATTTATTATTTGTTGTATAGGAATTGTTATTAGTATTATTAAGAAAACGACGAACTTTTGGCAACATTATACTGTTAAATAAATTTTGTAAAAAAAGAAGTCAAGATCTGAACAAAATAAAGTTAGAAAAGAAAAGAATTGTTCTTATTTATAGTAAAGTTTTTATTTAATTGGATTAAATAGTTTCGATGTATATCGAAAATTTCTTACTCAATAGAGGACGCTAAGGTATAAAAATATTTCCAAACAAGGTGTTTCCAACAGTTCTTTATTTACTATGGCAAGAAAATTCTCAAAAAATAAAAATTAACAAATGGCGTCTAATGAAGAAAGTTGGATATATGATATAATCAATGATTTTATCCATTCATCAATTTGGTTATCACCAATTCAAACATTTATCGATACAAATTGTGCTTGTTTTGATTATGATGATGATGATCATTATCAATTATCATTATCTTCACTCAATGAACAAAAAGAAATATATAAACAATATGAAAATTTAGCTGATTCATTACTAACTAGTCTTAGTGAAGATCTTAAATTAGATATAAATCAAGTAAAAAATTCTTATCAAAAAAATAATTCAATAACAATTGATGAATCTTATGAACAATTATATTCAATAAATGATTTTGATTTATTTACAGAAATGATGAAAAGAAAAAATTTAATTCTTCAATTACAAGCATTGGTTAATTTACAATTAGAATGTGGTATATTAAAACAAACAGATACGAATGATGATCGAGTTTTACAATTATTATTAAAAGCAACTTCATCATCATCAACAAGTAAAACATCGACAGAAAATTCTTCAACAGCTTCATCGAATGTAACACAAAACGACAGAATTGGAATGAATTCTGATAAACATCAACAATTTCAATTAAATGAGGCCAAGGTTTTTTTTTTATGTCTTTTTATTTTAATTTTAAATAAAATGTTTTTCTTTTGTTATAGTCAACTATTGAACCTAAAACAATTGATTCAGTATCTGAAGAAATTCTTCGTGAAAAATTAAAAGAATTAACAATAAGTACAACATCATCCATTGATGATGAAACTGCATCAATTATGTCATCAAGACAAAATTTTCTTAAAAAACAACGTGATTTAATTATTAGACAACAACATAATCAACGTTTTCGAGAATTAGAAAAAGAAAGTAGTCATATTCGACCACAATCAGCTGCTAATGTTGCACGAAAAGCAATGGAAACAACAAATAAACCAGAACAAAAAATATCTAATGATGAATTAGAAAAACGACGAGCTATGGCAGCAAAACTTCGACGAGAAGTAGTTGATAAACGATGAAATTTTCTTTTTTTTTTTTAAATATGTGCAAATTAAAGTCGTTTTGTAAGACATTATAAATCCAGTCGCTTTCTGTGTTCTTTTGTTGCAATAAAATCGCTTATTTGTTGCTTTCTATCAATGGCTCAACGTTTTTTTTCTTTTATTTCGTACATGTGAAACAATTTTCTTTTGTGGTTATTTCAAGATTCATTTTTTTTCAAAATTAATTGTAATAGTAATTTATTGAAAAGAAATATGAAGATAAGTTATGAGGTAGTCTCGAAGTATCTATTACAAATTTTTTTTTTCCAGTTGTATTGTTGTAACACCAATTTATAATTGTTTTCTATATAGTACTAGTGTTGTAGTGCTTGTCATTTGTGTCTTAGTGAACGAAATAAAATATTTCTTCTATCAATTTATCCTATATTGTGTAGATATCTGTGATGGTGGGAAATAGTAAAACAATTTTTTGATTTTTGTTTTTGATCTTTACTAGAAAATAATATTTAAAAAAGAAAATAAAATGTTCACTACTCAATGTTTTTGATCAATATTAGTCAGTATGTACCAAATCTTGATTGTGATCTTATTTATCTTTCTATTTCAATGAGTAGTACATATAACATGAGTACTTGCAAGTTGTGTTGATATTAAACCCAAATTTAGATTCATCAATATCTACATCAAGTTAATCCAATATTTCTATTTGAAATACTAATGGTACTATTGTGAATTGATTTTCATTTGAATTAATTATATCATTTGTTATTGATGGTAACATATCCTCTTCATCATAATTGACATATTCACAACCTTGTTCATGAATTGTATAAGAATTTTTCATACGATTAGGCATATATTCCAATATCAAAACCGATCCAAAACTTTTCAGATTTTGCTCTTATGTGTTGAATTAGAGTATCAATTATTGTAAAACAGTAGTCTTAGCTCATTAGCAAGCTTCACGTAATAGTTCTAGAGAAAGGAAGTTACTATGACGCTGTAATAAACTAGTAACTTTGCACCGCTTGAAAAGAAAGTAAGGTTTACCGATCATTTATTGAAACTTTCAATCTGATTTTTTTGCTGGTCGAGAAAAGGATATTCAGTGAAAATAAAGGTAACTGATAAAACTAGATTGGTAATGTTTCTGGTTGAGCAATCCGACTGTATACATGGTTCCTCAAAATTTATGAAGTAAGTTTTGTCGGACATCGATAATTGGTTGTCAGTGATTTTAGTCGAGCTTTGCAAAAATTCGTTGACTAGTAAAATAGACTTCTTCTAACCGAAACAATAGCACGGAAAAATGCTGAGACACGATCAAAAGATTCGTGTTATCCGATCTCGAATATCTCCAATCAAATCTTATCAATCACCTTTATTTCCATAGAATAGCATTTCTCGAGCGAAAAAAGCCAAACGAAAAGTTTCACTAGGTGATGGGCAGATCTTGAATTCCACGGATTTTACTAAACTGCGCGAATCAGATTGTTTATTCAAAACTTACAAACCGGTCCACTCTACTGCATGATGAAAAAACGTCAATTTTTACCGGTTATATTGAATCGCAAAGAATCAGATCGTTCATACTATTTTATAAACCATCCGAAACCGGAGTTTTGAACGTTTTACACAAACTGAATAAAATGTCTGAGTTTCCCGATTTAATATAATCGGATAAAGCTGAGGTTCCGGTAACTACAATTTACTGCGCTTTTTCTTCCAAAGAATTTTTCTTATTGAGCTAATAAAAGAAAAAACAAACAAACAAAAGTAGAGATACAATATAAAAGAAATCGAACAATGTTATCAAAAAACAAAGAAAAAGTGAATATTATCGAACACAGAATGTACCGTTTCACTTTGATTTACTTTATTAAGAAACCGAGAATAATACAAATATGTTTCAATTCTTCTCTTCTTCACACACTTCTGTTTTATATCTTTCATTCTTGTTATATTTATTAAATTGGGACAAACTTGTTGACTACGAAGCTCGACTTTGACTGAGAATTTTTATTCACGCAGTTTCAGTTCCAATTGTGACGTTAGACAAAGAAATCTTTTCGATTTCAATGCCATTAACTGTTATTGTGTAGCTCCGACTCTGACTGTAACAGAGGCATAGTTGAAATAGGATTTTGATATTCAATACAGATTTCTACATACCAGTCGACAACATGTTTTTTTGTTTTGTTGTATTCTTGTTTATTGTTTCAAAAAGAAATCTGATGATTTTTTAATATAAATATATCATTAGAAAACTATATTAAAGAAAGGCAGTATGAAAATATCACATTACATTAAGTTTGACAATGAAAAATTGGAAATCTTATTGAAAACATCGATCAGTCATAAAATAAAATTTAATCTATAGACCAAATATTATATACTTCCTACTGCTTTCGATGTAGTCATTCACTCGATTATAGATTAAAATTTATTTCTAATTTATGCTATAAAGAAAACATATTTTACAATTGTCTTCGTAAATCTAATCAGATTACTCAAATATTCTATATTTCATTTTTATATTTCTTTTATTTTTGAATAAATGATTTCATCACTATTAATACATAAAAAAGCAACAGTATTTTTTTAATAATATTAATCATTACTATCATTTCGAAATCAATCATCAATTGTTAATAAATATGTGATACAAAGATGATGAGAAATGTCCAAGCATTATACATAGATATGTATGACTTTAAAAATGAATATGATATTTGTCAATAGTCGTACAATTTTAATTTCAAATCGAATTAAAAACAAAAAAGAAAAATCTATTCTTCTATTTAAATATTTTTCTCTTTCTACTGTAATCAAATATTATTTGATCTATCTACTTGTTGCACATAGTTAGCTAGTGATATCTACCGACAATGGCGTTTTGAATTATGTCGAGGTTCGTTGCCTAGCATTCTTCAATATTAAATGGTTGTTGTAAACTTCTGTTTTAAAGATAATAGTGTAATCGGATTCTTGTCTAAATTGACTATTGATAAAAGTAATGCTTCGTTCACCAAATAATCGTTTTAATTATCGTCAAACACCATCGAGTATTGGGAATTATAATGCATTAAATGAACTCGTAATGAAATCATCAAGTCCTCGAACATCAGGTCATTCACTAATGACACAAAATGATAAATGGAATGATGACAATCGAACATTACGAAAATTACTTGTTGATCAACCATTAAATCCTTCTCAATCTCGATCACAAACATTAGAGAAATTACTTGGTGATCAACCATTAAATCCTTCTCAATCTCTATCACGATCATCAAATGTTGCCTCATTAAAATCAATAATTATCGAAGGACAATGGAAATATCGAGGACATGACGACGATCGTCTTCGACTTAAAACAATGGGTATTGAAAATTTAGTTGCTATTTGTCATGATATTATGAACGTAACATTTAAATCAACTAGTGAAGAACAAAAAAAACGAAGAAAATCTCTATCAACAAATTTTCGATGGCCAATAGTAAAACTTGATGAATTTAACAAATTAACTAAAGTTGATAAGGCATCTTTAAATCGTGCTCGTCTGCTTAATCTTATGACAATTGTGTATGAAGCTACCACAACAAATACTTCAAGATCTCAACTTGTTCGTATTTGGCGTGAAGCTTCTCGTCCTTCCAAATCATCTCAATCTCAACTTCAACCATTAATATCTTATGAACAGGCTTTTCGACATTTAATTCGTAAACCTAATAATCACTTACTTGAAATAGCACTGCATGCTTCTTTAATAAGTACTCATAATCAATCTGATTTACAACGATTAGGTGAAAAATTAGGTGTTAAAAGAAATCAGTTTGATATGGATTCAATTCGACATTCAACAAAAGCTTTTCAAAATCTAATTAAATTATTACGTGAACTAAATTTAAAACAAAAACAAGAACTAAAAAATATTGATACAAAGAGACTACCATATAAACCAAAAAAGAAACAAGATCTATATGCAAATGTTGCGGGTACAAGATTCCGTCTAAGTAAGTCAATTTTTTCTTTAAGTAATTTAAGAGAAGAACATTGTTCTTCTCTTCTCTATCAAATTCGATTGAAAACATAATTACATAAAATAATCTATTATTGTTTAATAATAATTAATTGTTAGTTTTCGACTGATTGAATTCACATCAACTGTTGGATATATAATATTCTATAAATTCAGTAGATTCAAAATCAATTCTTGAGCGAATGAAATGTCTATGAAAATAATATTGGAGATAACATCCTTCTAACTATAGGAAGAGAATAGTTATACAGTTGTTGTTTATATAGAAAATATAAAGAATTCGAATGAAAAGCAAAAAAAGGTAATCGTCATTGATTATACGTGGTAAAAAGTATATCTGTATAAATTGAGTTATGTTTTTCGGCATATATCATGGTGAAGAAAAATGTCGATTGACTTATGAAATCATCAATATGGAACTAATGAGTCCACATATATTAACATCTATTTTACTTTTGATTTCAACATACTACATTTTGTCATAAATAAGCTTGGAATTAGAAACAAAATTAAAACAAGGATTCATGTTTTCGGTAATTAGTTGTTCGTAATAAAACATGTGACGCTGCATATCTTTTTTTTAAGAAGATAGACATCAAGCAAAAGATTATTATGTTGAAATGCATTGAAATTTTATTGCTTAAATTTTAGTTCGTCAAGCTGTTGAAACGTCGGGTTTTTCCATAAGTCCAGATCATGATTTTACTTGCAATCTTTTGTGGAACGATTCATTAATTTCTATTGATATTGTATCAGCACTTAAACCTTATCAAAAAGTAAATCATTTTCCAACAATGAATGAAATATCACGTAAAGATCTATTAGCTGCAAATTATGACAGGTATATTTTATTCATTGAATTGTTCATTATTAAATATTAATCATCTTTTTTTTACTCCAGATTATCAAATTTTGCTCCTAAGGAATATAATTTTGCTCCGAAAACATGGATATTACCAAAGGAATATAATTTATGGTATTCATATGCATCGAATGAACCAAAAAAAGATCCAACTATTTACATTGTGAAACCAATTAATGCAGCAATGGGACAAGGGTAAAATTCTTTCAGAGTTTCTATTCTTTTCTATTAAAAAAATATTTTATTATACAGAATTTCAATCTGTTGTGATTATAAACGGATTCAATCCATGGATAATTACATCATTCAAGAATACATACGAGAACCTTATTTAATAGAGGGTTTTAAATTTGGTACAATTTCTTTATCATTAAATATTTTTGAAATACTTTTTTTGTTATTATTAAGATATTCGCATCTATGCTTTAATAACTTCCTGTGATCCACTACGTGTATTCATATTTAATAATGGTCTTGTTCGTATTAGTTCGAAAAAATATAAAATACCTAATTCGAAAAACGCAGTATGTTCAATGTTTCAATCATTCATTTTTATATACAAATAAAAATGTTTTTTGTTTTTGTTTAGTTTAATCTTTCTATGCATTTAACAAATTATTTAATCGATGAAAATGATATGGATGATGATTTCGATACAGATAATGGAAAAATCCATTCACTGGAATTTTTATTTGAATATTTAAAAAAACAAAACCAAGATGTCAATAAATTATGGAAAGAAATACAAGTAAAAGAAATATTTAAAAATCAATAACTAAATATAATTTTTCATTTTATTTTAAGAATATTGTAATAAAAACAATATTTCTTGCTGAACCGCATATATTAACAACTTATCGAATGTGTCGTCCAGGAATATTACCAACAAGTGAAAGTGTTTGTTTTGAATTACTTGGTTTTGATATATTAATTGATAAAAAATTAAAACCATGGGTCATTGAGGTATGTTTGCAAAGGATAGGTATGCATAAGGAACATTTTTAGACTATCCTTAGTTTTCCTTCATTCATAGTTTATCTAATGTTGAGTTTCATAAGGAATGGTTCGGTAACAAAATAATGGAATTTGTCAACGACCAAAACCCTTTATTGTTCAAACTATTGATAGACACGTTTGTATCATAAATGAATAAATTATGCATGGGACAGTGATTCGTGCAAATTTTCCCATACTGAGGCGTTTTTGATTGGACCCTGATGAAGACCGCAGCTGAATTTTTCGAGAAAAAAGAAGTACACCACAAAACTTTGAAATACATATAAGTCGATTTAGTTTTTTATATTGATTCCAAATGTGTTATTACTTGTAACTAAAAGTCTACTTTTTCCAATCAAAACCTGTTAAAGAAAAGTGAAATATGCAAAACAAAAATGTTGTTTAAACGAAACCGAAGTCGTCTTATTTAACAAAGACTATCTCTAAAAAAAATCGAAAAGCATCTGTTTTTGTAGTCCTTCTTCCGAGAGTTCAAAATCAATCAAAATCTCATATTATTTTTTTTCATTTCTCGAGATATTGAGAAAATAGTGAGCAGAAATGATAATATAATTATATGATTTTCGTGTTCATTTAGAGCACTATTTATGAAATTACTCTGCAGCACTCAACTATTCGATCTGAATATTTTACTAGACATAAACTATAAAATAGATAATTGATTGACATAGTTTTCAGTTGGAAACGCTTTAGTATGGGGAAAATTTATGCAAGTCACCGTTCCATGTATGAATCATCCATTTATGGTATAAAGGTGTATATCAATAATTTGAGCAATGAAGTGTCTTAATCATTGAGAAATTGCTTTATTTTGTTATCAAACGATTAAAAGTGAAATTCGACATTATGTAAATCATGAATGAAAAGAAACTGAGGATGGTCCAAAAAATGACCATTATGCGTCTCTGTCCTTTCATAATCGATGTTTTTTTTTCTATTTAAATAATTTAAAATAGGTTAATCGTTGTCCAAGTTTTGATGTTAACCGACAAATTGAATTTGATATTAAAATTAAATTATTATATGAAACATTTGATTTACTTCGTTTTCGAGTATCTGATCGAAAGAAAAGTATTGCTATTGAAAAAATTGAAGCACAACGTCGATTGTATTCAAATATAGGAAAAGATAAAAATGATCAAACTAATGAATTAAATAAAATGGTATAAATATATTCTTATTTAAAATTTTTATTTTAATGTTTTTGTTTTCAAATAGAAAGAAATTTTATATCTTTTTCGACGAGAAAAAGAACGTGAAAATTTTGAAAATCGTCATTCAGGTGGTTTTGTACGTTTGTTTCCAGTTAATGATCAAAATCGAATGAATGAACTAATGAATATTTTAACAAAATGTTTTCAAGTTTTATATACAAATAAAAATGATTCATCATGGACTATGAAATATTATCATCAATATGATGAAGAAGAAATATTAAATATGATAACTCGATTAGAAGATATTTATCAAAAAGATCAAAAAGAAAGTTCAAGATTAACTTATGTAAGACTTAATTTGAAACATTAAGTCATATTCGCTTACTTCACATAGAAAAAAATCCTTTAGGATTTGCTTAGTTAGTCTCCTATTCAATAATATTGCTCGATGAATTTGTGCAAATTGTTATTTCCTTGATGATTTACATCGAACAATATTACGATTGTTAAGTTATTACACTTATGAAAGAAGTCCTATAACTGATTAATTGTTTTAGAGTCGGGGCAATGTGCGTAATGTAAACCTAACAAGTTATGAATATTGTGAGATCAAGTGGGGCTTTTAGCTTATTGCTGCCGAGATACTGCATTTTTAGAGTTTTTATCAATCAAAGTCGTGACGCCCCTTATGAACATCGGAAAAAAGTGATTTTCGAATGTCAACTTGAAGTTTTGCACAAAGATAGACCTTGAACGGAATAGTCTATTGTGAAAGTTTCAGATTTTTTCGTTCTTCCTACCTTGCGATACTGCTATGGTAAAAGCATGTCTTTTATATCGTTTATATACACTGGTAGATTTGCTATTCTTATTTTAAGATAGGAGCAAATGAAAAGGCCTAACATTTTCACAATAAACTATTCTTTCTAAGGCCTATCTTCGTGAAAATTTCAAGTCGAAATTCAAAAACTAGTTTGTTCAGTATTCCTAAGAAGTACCACGTCTTTCATTAAAAAATGCCATAACAATGTAGTATCTCGCCAGTAATAACCTAACAGATTGAACTCTTTTCATGTTAGTTATAAATCACGACGATCTACATGATGCACATTGTTCCGACTCAAAAGCGATTGATCAGTTGAGGAACTTCCCTTGTTACAGAGATATTGAACTATGTGAATACTATTTATATTAGCGTATGAACTTGCCAGTTGGACATAGATTGCTCATCTATTCATATTAATTGTTTCAAATTTATCATAAAAATGAACGAAAAAAATATGTTTATTAGACAAAAACAATTCAAAGAGTATAGTCTCAAGAATATTAATTGCTGTTAATCTGCATAACAATTGCATCTTGAATATTAGTCCAGTTGTGTATTGTCGAATAAACTTTTGCAGTATTTCTTAAGGAAAGACTTTTCTGATTTTCATCAACAAAATCTTGATGCAGTTCTTTAAAAATCTATATCTAAAATACTAAAATAATCAAATTATGATAAAAGTATTCTCCTTCATCTTCTGATAAAATACGATTAATTGATAGTGCACAGAATTATTGAAAAATATTGTCGTGGTATCTATTACTAAACTTCATTGAATAGTTTTGTTCGAAGTATTTTGTAGTGTTTCATGTTAGCAAGAGACGAAAAAAGTTGAACTACAAGATGTCCGATTCTTTCGTCTTGAATATTTCAAAATAAAACCGATGAAAATTGGCTGATAACATTATTTCGAAGATATTTGCTATGTTTGTACAAAACGATTTTGTCTATTTAGGCATCCAATAGTAGCCTTGAATTAAATCGTTTATCATCTTCGACTAGTTTTATATTTGAAGTAAGTGATGACGAAAATGAACTTCGATCAGATTCATCACGTTCTGATAAAATTAAAAAATCTCCATCATCAACAAGTGACTCATTTATGAAAAGAGTATCAACACAAACATCATCAAATATTCTTCGATCAAGCTCATTATCACCATTAAATATTCCAAAACAACAATCAAACGCATTTGTTTTAACAGGTGATATTAGTCGACCACGAACAGCATCAGATAAAATGCCACCAGGTGTATCGGCTCAACGTATAACAGAAAAAAAGGCTTATTCTACATTACCAACATCATCAAAAAATATTGATCAACAACGATCGAACTCACCAAGAAATACTGATCAACAACGATCGCACTCACTAAAAACTACAAAAACTCATTATGATAAGTCTCAAATGGTTACATATTCATCTATTGTACAAGCAACTCGACAACAACAATTAAATAATCAATCGATAGCAGCTGATATTACAAAAGTATTTAAAAAAAAGACTTCCTTAATTTTATGTTTCTTCATCAATTTTTTTATTAGGAACTTCAATTAACAGATAATGATTTAAATCGTCTATATCAATTAATACTTGATCAAATGAATAAATTATGTATTCATTATCCAAATAAATCAAATAAACAAACATATCGAATTTGTAATGAGGTTTGTTTAATTTCAAATTCAAATTTTTATTAATTCATTTAAAAAAAAACTAGATAATTGAAAACTGGAATAGCTATAAATCCGACATCGGTCGATATTGGTTAGTTGAATTCGATGCAAATAAAAGACAATCAATTATAGATATTGTTTGGAATAATGTACAACAAATAATTAAAAAAGTATGCATTCTTGATGAACTTGTTCAACAATTACCACTAAATCGTCATTTAATGAAATTACAACGACGTTTATTAGCTAATCATGGACAATGTTTATGGGACGCATGTCAAAATAAACATAAGTAAGTATATTATAGATTTAGATTGTTCTTAGATAGATGAACGATGAGCACAGGAGCGGTAAGTACAAGGAAAGTTCAGTGGAGAAAAGTTAAGCACACATAAAAATTAAGGTGAACATGATGTTTATTGAAAAGATGAGTGCTGTATCTGAGATGGTGAAGGTGCTGAAAAGATTTACACCCATACCCACTCATATATTACGAATAAATTCTAGTCAGCCATGAAAAAACAAGCGTGTGAGTGAAGAGAAGACCTACACCCACAACCTCTTCATGTTGTTATTCTGTTAGGCCCAGATAGTACGAGGCTGAAATATGGAACTCTCAAATCTCACGAGCTCATATGTAGAGAGTCTCATTTATCGGGGCTTAAACGTCAGCCGTTCATCTGTCTATGTATCAAACCGTCGATAGATTGTTTCGTATAATGTGCGCTAGATCGACGGTGTTTGCCATTAGTTGTGAAAACCGGCGGTATACCAGCAATTAACAGACGATAGTTTGATACCTAAAGAGTTGTGCATCCTCTGACTACCACTCTACCGCAGTATACCGATAGTTGTTCTTTGAACGGCAATCTATTGTCGGTATACCGACGGTAGAGCGGACAAACGTGAGATATAGATACCTCATTCAGATATTTGAACTTAAATTGAATTCATCGCATACAATATTTAATTGCAATTATTTTTGTTAATATGTATGTATTGTTAAAAATAAAAATAATAATTCATTGATCATTCCACAGACTTGATATTTACTTTGGTCTTGTCTTGTATTTAAGTTTTTGTGCTCATCGTTCCGATTTTCATTTTTCTTTTTTGAGTTTTCTTCTTTTTTAAATAGTTCATGGGAATCATTATTTGTGAAAAGTACAAATCATTTGACGAACATTGAATTAGATTGTTGTTATCGTTTTGTTGATTTGTGTAGAGAAGCTTTATTTATTGTTTATCGATATTCAATTGATGAAAAAATTTATCAACAAAAACAAATTGATCAAGGATTAACAGTAATGATTAAATCTTAAAATATACATGATTATTTATTGTTTTCATCTGTTCTTTTTTCATCTGACATATTTTTTATGTGAATAAAGGAATTTATTCGGGTTAGCTTTGCTTTTATTTTTAACCGGAATAGACAACAAAAAGTATTTATATTTATCATTATTATCATTCAAATGTAATAAATACAAAGGATAAGAAAAGCGCGATATTTCAAAAAAAAATGAGAGATAAATCATAGATACACATATGAAATATTTTATAGCTTACAATTTCTTGTTTCTTGGTTATTTAGCATATAAATGAATAGTTCTTCATGTATGTGCAATGTCACTGTAAAGCTTTGTTAATTGACCTATTTACGATACTTTTAAGATATTGATTGTATTATACGACTTTAAATGAAGTTCTTATGTTATACTAAAAAACAAAAACATTTGTCTTAAAAAAAACTAGAGCTTATAGGTTATATTTAGTCTTGATACATAGAAATTAATCTAATATGTGTAAATGTATTTATTGTGTGAAACTTACATAATCGACTTTCATAATGTTTTGTTTTGTGTACTCATAAAGATATTCTCATAAATTCGTACACGAAATATCAAGGACTATGAAATAAAGCCAAGTAGATGATTGTAAAATTATTTATGATTGATATTTATGTGCATTGATTGATGCGCTACTAAGACGAACTACATTTACTTTTTTACTCATTTGATATTGACGAATTTATCTGACAGAACATCTATAAAGTCAAAAGTTAATTTAATTTAGAAGATTTTGCAAACAAGATAAAGACATGCGCGTTTCGTAATTGAATAAAGTTTTTAAAATAAACTTGTACAATACTAGACAGTCACTATCGAATATATAAAGGATATTACATAAGTAATGACCCAATTTTTAAGGGTTTTACTCCTTAAAAATGGGGTCGTTACTTATAAAACATTCTTTCTTCGGCGTCTTTGTCAATTGTCTTTCAAGGTTGAATATTAAGATAAAAGTTTCTTTTCAATTTAATATACACTGTTAATCAAATAGTGCTCTTTTTAATGATGTAAGCTTCGGATCTGTATATTAAAAACAAATTAGGCACGCTAAGGTAATATTACATTCGTTCACGCTATCATACACTCATGTTCAAAATCTTGTATTAACATTCAAACTAGAAAAAACGATATCAAGCGTATCGTTCTTGATTTTGTCCATATCCCCTGACATTGAAGCAAAAAATACAAAAGAGTGATGATAAGCAGACAAGTATATACATATATGTATTTAGTCATTTTCCGTATGATCAATTTTCACCTTGATTTGTTTTTTCCTATTGGTAGTGTAAAGATATCAACACCTTCTTTTCTATTACGTATTATATAAAGACACATCATTTAAACATATTCATACGATTCGTATATATATATATATATATAATGTTTGATTCTTATCACTATGATCCATATCTACTGTCAAGTACATGTCCATATTCTTGTGGACTTGTTCAATTTGCTTTACGAATAGGTGGAACAATTGATCCAGAATTTTTAAGTCAATGTCAAATAATGGATCCAAAATTTCAAAAAGCTGTCGATGAATTAAAACCAATACCATTGAAATTCGAAACTCCATCAGATCATTATGATTATCAAGCAGATATTTATCTTGATATGGATGCGTCTAATGCAACAAATTTTTATAATTCATGGGACTTTAACGAATATAATTCATGGTTAGGAAGTACCGATCCATGGCATCTAATGGATAACGTTGATAATGATATTATTATTGATTGTATTTGAATAGAGAAAGAGAAGAAATGTTAACTTTTCTTTCGTCATAATTTCATTAATAAAATAACTCATTTTTTTTTTACATTTCGTAATATGAAAGAAATCCTTTGAATTAACTCTTTCTTTCTTATATGATATAGTTCAATGAATATTGCACGTGATGTATGATTGTTTATTCTAACTTGATATTTTTTCTGCATGAATACAGAATGAATCAAAATCGAAAACATAAAAATCTAACTAAAAATTAAAAAAAATTCTTTATTGAATTTTTTTTAAAAACATTTTATCTTGAGAAATTTGTTCGATAGGTAAAATTAATTCATTGATCATTTCATCAATAATTCTTCCACTATCTCGTGATTCAATAGTAAATAATATTTGATCAAACATAGTCATATAACAATAAAGTTCTAACAAATTCCATTCATCATTTGTTAATAACATATTTCGTGCATTTTGATATTCGATTAAAAATTCTTTAGCATAGTCTGTATTAAATTTTGATCCACATGAACACCATAAACATAATGTCATAGCGATATCCATCAGAAAAGGTCCAAATGACATATCAGCAAAATCAAGTACAGCAGCGATTTTATTTTGATTATGATAAAAAAGAACATTTTCATCATGAATATCAATATGTATAAAACCTTTCGGAAGATCTTTTTCAAAATTTTCTTCAAATTTTATTTGTTCAAGTTCATCTTCAATTAATGGAATTTGACTTGTATGTTCATCCAGGACTTGACGTATACGTTTATATAAAGCTGGATAATCTTTTTCAAAATCATAACATGAATTTACAAGTTGATATTTAGTATAAACAATATTAATTCTTCGATGATTAAATGTAAAACCAAAATTATGTTTATCAATTGAATGCATTCGACCAAGAAATCGACTGATTTCTATTGTTTGCCATAATTGACGAACAGGTTTGTTCGGTGCATTAATATATTTAATTCCATCAATAAATGGGAAAATTGCACAATAATGTCCATTATTAATTAAAAAAATTCCCGGCGGATCAATCATTGGTACAACTGAAAGATGATATTGTTTAAAAAGATATGAAATAAAATTTAATTCAACTTGAATATCTTCGAATATAATTGCTTGTTCTTCTTTTGGAAGGTATTCTCGAAGAATATAAGTTTTTCCATTTGTTTTTATATGAAATTTACATGTTAGATTTACCCATCCATCAGTTATTTGTTCGATTGATGAAGATGAAAGTTCACCTAATGAATAATTATTTAATATTGAAGCGAGTTCTTCATATGTAATCATAATCTGTAAAATATGAATTTCAACATGCAATCTTTTTCAATAACGCCATCTATTAAATTCTTAAGATTAAATTTAATTAAAACTCTATTGATATAAACTTAAAAATAGAGGTAAGTGTTGTCAATCTTACTTTTTTTTATGTAAAATAAATAGAACAATGATTGGTAGTTAGTGTCATTAAATATGACTCATATGTTATTGTGTCATCATTATCACCATTCATGTGCACGATTGTGAATCGGCAGTGAAAAATAGCGAACATCTCAAATGATTCTTATCAAATTTTAATAGATATTTTGATCTCTGTTTGACTTAATATTTTAGGTTCGAATCGAAAATGAAAATTTAAATAATGATAAGAAAAATGTTGTGTATGAATGACTAGAAATTATTTTTAATTATGGATAGTAGTCTTGTATTATTTACCTTTACACTTATTTATTAACCTACTGATAAGATCAAATAAAAAATACGATTTTATCAATATAATATATTAGATATTATGCATTAATAGTGTTTCTACAGAACTAAATTTAAACTCATTCAAAATTCATTATACAATAATTGAAACAAATTTCGTTTTAATCAATGTACGAAAATCTTGCTTCTAGAACAAGACAATAATAAACTATGTTTAACAATATTTTTAACAATGCTATTATATACTTGTCAATATTTAGTTTAGTCAATAATTTAATCTTCAATATGATGGAGATATTCTTTTAGAATATTTTTCAAATAAGAAATTTCTTTCAGATTTTGTTACTCTCAATATTAATGCAGCGATTGAGTAATATATACCGAATATATCTTGGTCATTATCCTCCATTCATCATTTATCATCTGTTTATATACAAGTTAGATATGGTTCTAACACTGAAAATTTAGCTCCATATGTTTTACAAAAATTACGTAAAACAGCTAATCATATTGAACAAGTAACATAGAATGTGCATATGGTGATGATATATTCAAAGCACTAGTTCGTGTTTAGATGATTAAATGTCAATCGACGATAATTTTTTCATGAATATTTTCATATTAGTTATACAGATAATGATAAAAAACTTCAACCATCAAATAAATCAAAAATTCCTTTGATTAGATTCGATAAAAAAAGAAAAGAAAAATTACTTATTTTAGATAACAAATGTCAAGCTTTGCATTTATTTTTGATATAATTTTTTCATGTATTATTACACTTATACTTCTTTATCGTTGCGGTAATTATCGCCGGCAACGTCCAATAACAACTGGTGCTGTATTTATTGCATGGTTTTTTTCATTTCTTATGGTTTTTATTCTTCCATTTGATATATCACTTGTGTGACAAATAATTCTTTTTTTTTATATTTTATTTGTTATTATTTTAAATTTTAGGCTGCCTATCGAGATTGTTTATCACTTCCATCGACAACAGTAACACCAATAATTAATGGTTCAATTAAAGTAAAGATATATTTTCATGTAGAAAAAATAAACGAAGAATATTTATAGAATGTGTCATCAAGTGACGCATGTCCTAAGCCATGGTCTTATGTGGATCCGAAATCATATGAAGTTTTATGGCGTATTGTTTATTGGACATCACAAATTCTTACTTGGTATTAGTTTAAAAGAATATTAAATTAGAAAATTAATTTTATTATTTTTTTTTTCAAGGCTTATCTTACCATTAATGCAATCATTTTGTGAAACAGGTTAATAAGATTTCAATTGTTTGTTTATATAATTTCTTTTTTTTGTATTTGAAATATTTTTTTAGGAGAATTTTCTATTAAAGGAAAAATAAAATATGCCATTAAAGCAAATTTAATTTATTATGGAACACTTTTATTTATCTTTATTATTCTAATTATTTATGTAGCAACTAAAGTTCCATTAAACTCATCAAATTTTACGGTAAAAAAATTTTGTAAATTTAAACAATGAGGAATCGATTAGGGAATTTAGCATATTCTATTCTCCTTCTATGATTGTCGATGAAAAAGAAAAATAAAAAACAATAGTGTGCAAAATTTTCAGTAAAGCTGACTTATTGATTACAAACCATTGTCTATTATAGTATGCATAGCTACATATATCCCTGAAAAGCAAAAGTTAGCCACTGTATTTTTTGTACATCGTTATTATAACAGCATATTTTTAAAATAATAATACTATATTCAGAAAGCGCATGAAATTCTCTACCACCATGTATATTTGTATTTTAATTTTCACTTTTGAATGATTAACATAAATTGAGTATAATGAAGACAACATGATATTCAGATTCCCACAGACATGATTTTGTCACTGTAACCAAA